CCCCTGGAAAAAACCAAGCCACTTGGCTGCTTAACCTGTTATTACACACTCATAACATACAGTAATGTTAAAAATAAAAATCTTACACTGCACATTTTCTGACACTTTTACAGCCAAAACAACAAAAAAGGTCCAGGCGTCCTGTTTAAGGTTTAAGTGTTAAAGGTTTAATTAACTTTCGCTGCTATAAAAGGGCAAATTATAAATATTCTGTCTATTTTTTTAAACAATTTAAGTATTTTTATAATTTTACCTTCCAAGTTTTGGGGGTTTTTTTACCTTTTAGTATGACCTATAATAATATAAAAGAACTTTGGGAAGAGGTGGCTGGGTGGTTGGGGGGGTTCTGCTTAAGGCCCCATAAACACTGAGACCGGCCATGGATTTTTTTAACAAAAGGCCAGTTCCAGCAAAAGCTGTATTGATCGAACTGAGGTGCGTGTCTTTGACTGTGTGCTTGTGTTCTGCTATGTTATGAGGTGCACTCACTACATTTATTATTCTGAGCTTCTGTTGATGGTAACAGCAGAGTTTGGTTCAGTTGTCATCACAGGTTCAACACCCTGAAAAAACAAATAAATATCTTAATTTATTGAATATTTATAATGATTATTATGGTTATTGTTCTGTATATTTGTATGCTGCACATTTCATCTTAAAACAGTTGATTGACTTTTCTTCTTTCTTCTGGGGATGGGGGGGGGTATCCTGCTTAAATGCCACATTCGCTGGTTTTCTTGCATATTCAGCATGTCATATCCTTCCGCCACTAATTTTACCTTGCAATATGACCTATAATAATATAAAGAAACAATGCATGGGGAGGGTGACCAGTCTGGTGGGAGATGTGGGGTCTCTGCTTAGGGCTCCATCAACAGCGGGAGCAGACGTGGATTTTTAGGCCAATCCTTGTTTTCTTGCTGTCTTTCAACATGTCACATTTCTAATATCACTAATTTTTCCTTTGAGGGTGGGTGACAGGGTGGCCAGGTGATTTGGGGTCTGGGCTTTTGCCCCCATAAATACTGGGACTGGCCCTGGATTATTAACATCAGGACAATCCTGGCAGGCATTAGTCTAACTGAGATGTGTGTCTTTGATTGTGTGCTTTTACTGTGTTATGAGCTACGGTGCTAGTGGAGGCCCCGGTGTTCAGTCCCCTGTGTTGGGCCCCCCAGGGGCCCTAAATCCCGGCTCCTCTTCCCCCCAGCCCCCCACCCTCTGACGTGCAGCATGCAGAGGCGAGCAGCGCTTTGCCTATGCATTAGCCATCTATTTCCCCCGGCTGACACCTCTCCAACATAAAACCGTAAGGCAGAGGTAAAATATCTCTCTCCTGGCGAAAATAAAGCTTTGTCTGCCTGCTGATCTATTGGATATAAAAATAAAGCCGCGGCTTTGATGCGGGCTTTACCTTATGCGCGCCTTTGCTTTTTGCGCACACAAAAGCTCCAATGAAGATGGATAGTGCGGGATTGGCCGCGGTGCGTCCAGCACAGCAGCATCACTCACTCCACTTCTTCTTCTTCCTCCTCCTCCACCTCCTCCAGCTCCCCTGCCCCCCCCCTCTCACAGCATTTTTTTCAACTCAGATGTTGTTGGGGACTGTTTGCTATTGATCAGTAGATGTCGATAATTATACACGGATTTAAAGCCTAATCGGCTTTGGTAAAGTTGCAGCGTTCACATTAAAGAATAATCAGTTTGATTTCGGTATTCTTCTTTAGTTTTCAATGGAACGTGAGAACATCAGTGATTCTTGGATTACAGAACGATCCCTTGATTTTGCTGTTGTACCCCTATTGTAGCCTATAACTGCGTTAGGGAGACACATTTGCCAGAGTTTTAGTCCTAATGATATCTAAAGATATCTAGAGATTGGATTATTCAGTTCTAACTCCCCCATATGTGCCTATAAAATATAGTAAATCAGCAGGAATTACTACCATAAAAATACCTTTAAAATATGCCAGATTTTAGCTCCAATTCTTCTTTTCTTTCAGACCCCACAGGAGGGCTTTTCCACCTTTGTTTCTCATCATAGAATTGAATAAAATCCTCCACCAGGCTATTTGAGGCCATTCAGTCCTGCAGCACTCCACAAAAAGGTTTTAGTCGCCAGAGGTTCATGGTTCATGAAAAAACTGAATTGTGAAATTTAGCAGCATTAGATAACACTTAGGAGGGTTTTATTGCATTGATATGTCTGTTTTTGATTCTTCTTATTTTATTTTACAATTAAGAGTTTTAAATTAGGATTAAGGATTTATATACACCTGCCATTCTGACCAAAGAACCTTTAAGACCACGTTCTTCCGGGATAAAAATAAAAAAATACCTTTCTTGAGGTTCCACGTGGCCTCTTTGGTGCTGTATAAAGCAGTTTCAGTAAGCACTAAATGTTCCAAGTAGTAGTAATAAAGTAACTCATAATAAAATTGTTGCTATTAAAAAAAAGGTTTAAGGTGAAAATTAGAGGGATGTGCCTGGCTGATATCTTAACCACAAAAATCTTCATCAACAAAAAAAGGCTGAAAAGCAGCAGATGTATGGTTAAGCATGCATCCAGCTCTGCTGTGTATTTTAATGCAGGTATCAGCAGCGGCCAGCTCTCCCTCTCTCTGTGCTTGCGGGCTTTTTTTTATTTCAGAGCACAGAAATCCGCTGCGGTGGCTGCAGCAGCAGCAGCAGCAGCAGCAGCAGCAGCAGCTATCTGGCGCTCTGCAGCCATGCAGCCCGTCCCCAGAGCATTGGCCAGCGGGCGATAATATCTCAAAGGGAGTGGTTATCGCCACACATTATATTATAATCATTAGTGATCCTAGCCCTTTCACCCCGACTGCAGAATAAGCGCCGAGTACCATTAATCTGAACTGGGGGGAACCGCTTCCGAGGCTGCTTCCCAGCGACTTTATGTATGTTCATTTCTCTGCCTCACTCGGTTTGGAGCCTTTTCATGTGAGAAAATGCATTATTGTTTTGAATTTTTGATTCACATTGAAGGTGCATGTCTGTGCTGAAGATGGTTTAGTCAGTCTGTTCTCAACCTGTTGTAAATATGATGCAGTTTTTGTTATTTTAATTAATTTTAAAGAGTGTCTATCCGTTCCGTATTTATATTATATTATTTTTAATAGTGTCCCGTCATGCTTTGGTCCCATGTGGCCTTTCTAGCATAGAAACAATACAATTTTGGAGAAAACATGAAATACTTTCATTTATGTATTTATTTATCCATTTACTAAGCCTACTTTTTTCTTTTACAGACATAAAGAAATATATTAAAACATACCTATATTTAAAGTAACCGACAGTTTAGAAATATTGCCAGGGCCTGCCTGTGACTTCATTTGAAAAACACAATACAAAGAAGAATAACATTAAAATATGATACAGGCCTGTATATGTATATACAATGTCCAGTTTTAGCTGTATTATTAATTATTACTGGAATAAAGCTGATTGGGGGTCTGCGGTGACCGTGTTGCCTTCTCGAACTTTATTCTGTCGTAACGCAAGCATTACCTTTGAATTAATAATAATAATAATAATAATAATAATAATAATAATAATAATAATAATAATAATAATAATAATAGTGGTAGTATAATTGGCTGAGACCTCTCTTTGCCCGGACTGAATTCGCCCCCTAGAGGAGTGTGCGGGTCTCTGGTGGTGGCTGCAGTGGTTGTGGTGGCCTTGTTTCTGCATGACCTCGGAGTCCCATGCAGGGACCCCCAAAGCCCCCACCCCAATTCACTGAATGATGTGATCTCCTTGAGAAAACACACAGCCAGTAAAGACGCTGGTGGTTGCCGATGGTTCTGGAGGTCGGATTGTGACTTGGCTCGGCTAGTGTGTGTGTGTGTGTGTGTGTGTGTGTGTGTGTGTGTGTGTGTGTGTGTGTAGTGGGAGTGGGGGGGTTGACTGACAGAGGAGGGACAGCTGTAGGGAGATGATCTATAAATCCCATTGGATTTCTCTCAGCACAGGCCGGGACCGGAGTTGGAAAGTCTGGAAAATGTTTGCGTAGAGTTGCTGTTGGCTCAATAATCCACGTCCAGTTCACATCGGCATATGTTTGGCTGCTGATCTACAGGAGGAGGGAGGAGGAGGGAGGAGGAGGGAGCGAGGGAGGGGAGGACACAGCCAGTCGATTGTGGGACTGTGCGTTGCTCTGCGTTGCCCAGTCATGTGGGTTATTATACCATTGCAGACTCTGAATTTCCCCCAGATATGGCAACTGTAGGCCGGCCTTTTCTGCTGAGGTGAACGGACGGAGGCCGGGATGAATAGAAAGAGTGCTGAGAGTGAGTGATAATGCGCTGGAGCATGATTGGGTAGCATCTCCTCCTCTACAAACTCACTTTGTGAATATGGAGTGCGCACTTTGCGGATCCAGGACATGTGTATTTATGTGCTAAATGTTAATGGAGGTATATTGCGTAAAATGCTACACTTTCCAGTTTTAGGCATTAGTATTTTATAACTTTTAAATAACAGACTCACCCAGAGGCTGGTTTTCGTTATTGGCAAAACATTTTTTTTTTTTTTCAGAATAAAAATAAATTTTTCGTTTTAAAAAATCCTCTTTGTTTGCAATTTGATGTAAATTATTTTACACTTTTCTTGAAAGCAACTTCCAATAGGTGCAGTCCCGTGAGCTTTTAATTTCCTTTCTTTAAAAATATGCACATTTGCCAAAGCCGAGCCTTCCAATCATTTCCCAACTTTTCCAAGCAGGAATAGAGATGAAAAATTATACAAATGATATTAACTGAGCCAGTTTCGGAGAAATGGGGCTGTTTATTCCTTTAAAAAATATAGTAATAATAAACGTATTCATAAGCCAGAATGATGAATGCGTCATATTATGAATTATGAATGTCAGCGCCTGTTTGCGATATTCCTTTGTAAAAAAATAAAAATTTAAAAAAATCCTGCAGAGACTTAGAGCAGCGGACCGGTACCCCACCCTCCACGTCCACCCCCTCCTCCTTTTCCTCCTCCTCCTCCTCCTCCTCCCCGGTACACTCAGTTGATCAAAGCTCCAGTCGGGGGTGATATTTCTTTCTGTATTACCGGAGTCACGGTTGCGTCTCCCCGGCAGCCTCTCCGGCCCCGGCTGCAGCCCTCACCGCCAACTGGTAATAAAAAAAAATGTAAAAACCCACAAGAAATACCTCTTCCTTATATTTTTAAACACCTTCTCTCTCCCTCCCTCCCTCCCTCCCTCCCTCCCCGCCTAATCACCTGCTCCGTTCAGTATTTATCCCAGAGTCCTCTCCTTCCTCTCGCCGTGGCCCCCCTCACACACTGCCGTGGTGACATTGTGTCTCTTAAACTGAGCCTGGAGGAGAGAGGGGAGACAAATAAACGTGTCATGATTAGAATTAATGATTGCATGCATCTTCACAGCCTCATTCATTATCTCAGATTAATTATCTCGCAGTGTACCAGTTCACTTGTCTGCACTTCATAAACCCCAAATCTCCTGGGCTGCTTTACAACACCACGGCCCTGATGGAAGAATATCCCCCTTTAAAAAAACTGTGCATGACGTATAGTGTCCAAATTCAGACTTTGGAGGGAGTGAAAAGAATTGCATAAAATGGGAAATGTGTAAAGAATAAAAGCCCAGTCAGTGGGCTGCAGTATAAGACACATTTCAGATGGATCTTGGTTCATTTTCAGGCCTCCTGCCATCAAATCCAACCATTCAAAGCAGAAAGAAAAAAGTTTTGTTTTCTTCAACTTGCTGGCCAAACAAATTCCAATTTACAACTTCTGCCTGCATCAGAAAATGCAAACATGAGTGAGAATAAAATCTATTGCTAGTGAGGGATTACAGTGGTAAGGTTAAAGCCTTTTTTGCATTTAATAGTGTCTTTGCCTGGAGGGGAGTTGAGATATTTTTAAGCCCATAGCCCATATTTTGATTTCCTTCTATTCGTGGATTAATCTGCCTCTGTGAGCTGCCTTTTTCTCCCTCTCTCTGGTTTATTCTAAATCAGGCAGAGATTATCCCCACAGACAGACTATCAAGGCATCTTCCACACACAGAAATAACAACAACTTACATGCTGCGTTTACAAGTTTGTGTGCGCCGGTGGTGGAGACTATACAACAGATTTCTGGGCTTATATTTTAAAGGTTCTTCTAGTGCGAATAAAAGAGAGAAGTGACTTTTGAAGTCCGACAGAAAGGCGATATTTCCACTGCTGATTGCCTTCTGTGGACCGCCCAGTTGTCATGGAGCTCAGTGACCCCTCTCTCCCCTGTCTCCCTGATGGAAACATAACCAGATGCTCAGCAGAATGCGCCCCGCGTCCACAGAAAAGTAGAAAAGTGGGGAAAGGGATGAAAAAGAGAAGGAGGCTGGAGGAGAAAAATAAAGAGAGAGAGAGAGAGAGATGTGTGTTTTTGAAGCCTTATCTCTCTCCTTTTTTTCTTCTTCAAGCCAGTAACACATGTCCTGTTGAAGGGGCGCTCCCCAGACGCCGGGAGGCAGCTGGACGGGGGACGGGCGGGCGTTTTGCATGAGAAGCAGCCCATATGCAAGAGCATGCTGGCGGGCTATTGGTAGAGAATAAATGGGTGTCCCTGGGTCGCCTTTTTCTGCTTAAAGTGCGCAGCTATTGAGCTTGAATCCATTTTTAAGACGAGCAGATATTCAAGTACAACATTTTCACATTAAAAAACCTGCTGCCAGTAAACAAAGATTCATTACTCCGCACTCGTTTCCTGGCAAATTTGAATCTTGGTTAGAGAGTGGAACGAAAAGAACACGTTCAACTCTATTTCACTGAGCAGAAAAAGAGCGATGATAAAAGTGTTACAGACTGCAGGACTGTAGATCAACACAAAACCCTTGGCTGATCTCTTTGATGGGAAATGGCTGATAATCCAGCGGGCTGTTAGGCTCATGGTGTTATTTACTTAAGGTGGACCTGAAGTGGATTGGACCTCCCTAATGAATCGTCCGAGGTGTCTGGGCCGCGAGCTCCTGACGCGCTGAGCTGTCAACTTTAGAGCCTCTCCGTCTTTCACTTCCACGCTTCCTCTCATCACACAGAAGAGAAATCTGCTAAAGTGCGCTGCCGCTAACGCGAGCTGATAGAGCCAATGAGCACGTGACGGCGTGATGTTGCACGGCTCTGGAGGAGAACCGGTAACACACACACACACAAAGCATCTCCAGGACTCATCTATGAGATCCTGGCAGGAGAAGTTGTGCAGCTTCCTGCTGCGAAATCAGACATTTAGCTCTCTGGATGATGCGTTCAAGTGCAAAGCAGGCAGTTAAGATTTTATATTCTAACGCACAGCTGCTTTATTGATGATAAAAAAGCCTCCAGCTATTCTCAGATAATCAACACAAACATGCCCAACTTGTGCGCCATTTTCTGGCGCAAAGTAACTTTACAGGAATAAACAGGGAGGGCGCCATGCAGCATGCGCCTCCAGCTTCTTTATCCTGAAGACGCCGCCGTATCTACCTGCTCAGATTCCTCCTCCATGCCCCCCTCATGCCCAGAAGACAATTTGCTCAGCAGCTCACAAGTGGCGTCTCTCCCCTCCGCGCTGCTCGCCCTCCGCCGCCGCGGCTGCTTCCTCCAAACACATTCACTAACATATGACAGTTTGCAGGGAAATTCTTGACAATTGGTGTCTTGAGTGTGTGGCATAAATAGCAGGCAGAGCCCTCGCTGGGTTATGATGGGGCGGCTTGATGGTTGCTTGCATGGCGCGGAGCTGATTGGTCCGGCCGCGGCCTGACGTCAGGAGGCTGGGAATAAGGCTGGGCTGGAGCTTTAGGAGCAAGACAGTGTACTGGAGACCCCAGCGCACCCCAGCATACACACAGTACTGGAGACTGAGGGCATCCCAGCATACACACCGACTACTACCGGAGCCGCCAGCATCTCCCCCACCGGCCACCACAAGTCCAGGATCATCGGACTGAGCGAGAGGGGAAAACACTCTTTTTTTGGCAATCTCTTTTGGGTGTGTGATTTTGTTTCTCGCCGGGTTTCGAACAGTGGATACGCTGCCATGTCAAAGTACACTGAATTATTTATAGGCGTGCGTGTCTTGTTGTGTGACAGCTCTGCCCTAAAAGCATTTTATTAGACGCCTCTTCCAGCTCTGACTGGCACACGACTCTCCTCTCAGCCGATGCGTCACTTCTAAGAGCGCCGGGACAACCGCACTGGCTCCGGTCTCCTCGCCCGCCTGAGCCGATCTGCAGCTGAAATCTTTTTTGGTTGAATTGTTTTGCCACGGATCCAATGAAGGACTGATATATTTTTCTCCTTTTGGCTTTTCCACCTGAGAGAGAGAGAGAGAGAGAGACAGAGGACGCGGTTGCCATCCTGCTTTTGGACGCTGAGCCTTTTTACGCATGCAAGGAGAAATCTGTGGTGACACCTGATCGACTGGCTTTCCTCCGCGCACATTGACCCGGGAGCTCCAGGCGAATCAGGGGAGGGAGAGAGCGCAGATAACTCGGTCAATGCCCGGCCTGTGCTGTTGATTTTTTGTTTTGTTTTGTTTTGTTTGTGTGTGCGCGTGGGGTCCAGCCAAAAGCCATGGTCCACTGCGCCGGCTGCGAGAGGCCTATCCTGGACCGCTTTCTGCTCAACGTGCTGGACAGAGCCTGGCACGTCAAGTGCGTGCAGTGCTGCGAGTGCAAATGTAATCTGACAGAGAAATGTTTTTCTCGAGAGGGGAGACTGTACTGCAAAAATGATTTCTTTAGGTAAGCTCGGGGAAGGTGTGTGCGTTATGAAGTATTTGTTTCATTCTTATTTTTGTTTGTTAAAGTGGTTTTAAATCAGTAGCTGGGTGCAACCAGGCACATATTAATAAGCCTTTAGGAAATTCTATAATATAAACTAAAGGAATTAAAATGGGAGCATAAAATAGGAGCAAAGGTGGCGATGGTGCATCATAAAAAAGATGAAATACTTTACATTGTAGGCCAAACGTTGCATTTGAATGGAAAAGCGCATTTAGTTTTTACAAATGTATTGCAAATTACATTTTTGTGTCTTCTATATTTTTTTACAACTTTTATATTAGTTGCTATTCATTATCGATCACTGTAAAGTGATTCTTACAAACACAGGCTGAGTTTTCAGACAAAGAATTAATTTAACATAATAAACTACCATTTTTGAATTGTCTTAAAAGAAGTTGTGGCACATCTGTTGACTGCGTTCCCAGTGTTCCCAGTGAACGCTCAGTAAATAAACGAATAAAGCGACCTGTCCGTGCCTGTAGGCGCGAACGAGTACTCGCAGGCGATAAGCTTTGATTAGGAGCGAGTAATTAAAAGCTTGTTAATTTGGATTCTTATGCAAAAACAACAACAAAAGAGGGCCAGCGACATTAAAACGCGTGTGCACTCGCTCTCAGCGGGGAGAGGAGTGTGTGTGCGTGGGGGGGGGCGGTTTGTTAGGAAATCGAGGAAATCACACTTGGGGTGTTTTTCTTTCTTTCCTTTTTTTTTTTTTTTTTAACAGCGTGCAGGGGAGCTTGGGAGGGAGGGGGATCACACAGGATCAAACCCCGGCCAGAGCAGCCCGCTGCCCGGTGTGTTTACTCAGTCCGACTGAGGAGGACGTGATAAGTGGATTTGAATAGTAAACTAGTTGAAAAGATCAAGTCCGCAGACAATGCAATCACAGACGTGCAGTCAACAAGCAGTGCACAGCACTCAATACACATTGTTTAACGGTGGAGTCGATGGCGGGGCTGTAATTTATTGCAAGGCAGCTTGTGTTAGAGTATTAACGGGAGCTGGATATTTAGTGGATTTCACGGTGAAAGGACGTGTAACAGGGTCGTTATATAGGCAGGCAAAATGCTGGGAAATGTAGAGATAAAACAAATACATAAATGAAGTTCTAAATAGCTGTGCAGTGGCTTCTGGCGGAAGTTGTTATTTTAAAAATAATTCGAACTCATACACAATTTTCTTTTACAACCAAAAATATTTATAGAGCGTCATTTCCCCAAAATGTGCAAATTATATCTGCACACACAAAGATAAAACGGAATTTTACATTTTAATCTATTATTATTATTATTATTATTATTATTATTATTATTATTATTATTATTATTATTATTATTATTATTATTATTATATCAGTGTGGGTTGAGACCTTGGAGACAAGGTCCAAAAAGCTCCTGAAGACGTTTGTGTTATGTTCTCTTTTCTCCATATTTTGAGCATCTGGATTTTTTTTTACAGTGCCTTGTTTTCACCATTATTATTATTATTATTATTATTATTATTTAAAACGTTATGTTTAAGAATAGTTTATGTTTCAACTTTAGTCCCCAAATTGCGTCTTCAAAATGCTCAATAAGGGTTTTTACAAAAATAAGTGCGACTTCATACAACTTATTAAAAATTCTTTTTGTTTTCATGTATAAAAATTCAATTCAACTTTATTGTTATTTGACATAATGGGGACATAATTAAGATAAGATAAATACAGATAAATGTAGGTGAGACATAAAACAGCAACACCAATGTAAGTTCAAGCTCTTCTGAGTGAGCAGCATTTTGTTTTTGTTAAAATTCTGCAATATAAGACTCATTCATACACCTCCGCCTTGTCACCAAACCTGGCTGGACGTTGATATTTTTTATATTTCTGGAAAAAACCCATCTCTGATAACAACCACCCTCCCTGCTCCTTCCTCCCACCCTGCAGGCGTTTCGGCACTAAGTGTGGCGGCTGCTCGCAGGGCATCTCTCCAAACGACCTGGTCCGGAGGGCCCGGAGCAAAGTGTTTCACCTCAACTGCTTCACCTGCATGATGTGCAATAAGCAGCTCTCCACCGGCGAGGAGCTCTACATCATAGACGAGAACAAGTTCGTTTGCAAAGAAGATTACCTAAGCAACGCCAGCGTCAAAGACTCCAACCTCCTCTCAGGTACGGAGGGAGCCCAGCCTGCGTGCGCGTGTGTGTGTGTGTGTGTGTGTGTGTGTGTGTGTGTGAGAGAGAGAGAGAGAGAGAGAGAGTGAGTGTGAGTGCAAGGCGGGATAAATTGTGATGGATGTGATGTGTTCAGCCCCGCAGTGGCTTCATCATTTCCATGAGCAGGAGTTACACGGCATTCAGAGAACAGAATTCAACAACAAAAACACACTCTATATTGTCTATAATGCATAATATTTACACTTAAGACTTTTATTTTCCCTTAAAGAAATTAAGATTATAATCCTAATTTAGGCCTGGGTTGGTTCTATTATCTGTAGTGTGTAATTAGCCATTTTTACTTAATATTCGAGGGTCTTAGCGCATTACAGGCGAAAAACACATCTTATTATTTGTGTGTATGTATGTACACCTAAGGGTGTAATACACAGGCATAGTATCAAATCGATCGATAAATAACGGTTTAAGGCTCAAAAACCTTTCAGAAAATATCATTTATTTTTATTAATGTTGCGTCACCGACCTGAGGTCATAGTTCAGCCACTAGATCACTGCTGGCTCTGAGATAAATATGCTTTATATTACATTAGTATTTCTTATTATTTATACTCCAGTATCATTCTAATCCTGCTGTCTCCTCCCTGCAGTAACGGCGTGCAGCGACCCCAGTTTATCGCCGGACTCTCAAGACCAGCTACAGGACGACGTGGTCCTGAAGGACACGGAGATAGCCGCCCTGTCCGACAAAGAGACGGTCAACAACGAGAACGACGACCAGAACCTGGGAGGGAAGCGGCGCGGCCCGCGGACCACCATCAAGGCCAAACAGCTGGAGACGCTGAAGGCGGCGTTCGCTGCCACCCCAAAGCCCACCAGACACATCAGGGAGCAGCTGGCCCAGGAGACCGGCCTCAACATGAGGGTCATCCAGGTAAACGAGGCAGAGAACCCGCAGGAGAGCCGGGCCGCTCAAGTGGATTATTTCGCCATGAATTCATTCATTCACCAGCAGATATCTGACAGACCTTATTTATTATCAAATGCCATGTCCACGTGACCCCCCTCCAAATCCACTATTGTAATTATAGGCTCCAGCATCCTCAGTCATTGACGGTTCAATAGTAAATCATCACATCTTCTGCTTCTGTCTGAGATATTATGGAAAATATATTCAGGGGGACACCCACAGGTTGAGGAGGTGGGCTCGCGCCTTTTCTGTTTTATAGGGTGTCACGCACCCATTAAAAGGTGTGATGTAACAGCTTATATTTTATGGTAAAATGTCCCTGCCAGGCTGCCAGACTTGCCATGACCGCGCAGGCTTCATCATCCCATCAGAGCTGGCTCCACCCCCCATCCTTCACCCCTCTTTAAAAAGGAAGGGGGCGGTGGGGGTCCTCTTCTTCCTCCCTCCGACCCGCGGCTGTGGTGGTAGTGGTGGTCGCCGCGTTGAATTCATTAAAGCCGCAGATTGGCGGAGGGACGAGGGTTGATTTGGAAACGGGTAATTTATATGGGTATTTTTGATTCTTGGCGCGCGGCGGCCGGGCCAAAGTCGCGCCAACTGGCAAAGCCGGGCTGCTGGGAGCTGCTGGGAGTGCTGGGAGTGCTGGCACTGCGCTGCCATCACGTTTTGCGAGCACATTTAGCCATGCTGTGAGCACTTCCAGCCAAGTGGAAAGACAGAAATCTGTTTCAAGGGGTCTTCAGATTGTCTCTGCACAACTCTGAATTACAGCAGGGCCGAACTTAAACAAAGAGCAACATTATTATTATCATTGTTATTATTATTATTATTATTATTATTATTATTATTATTATTATTATTATTATTTTGAGGGACTATTTTATCTCTTTTTTTGTGATTTAAAATTTGTTAAGGCGCTATTTTACGTGGCGGAATGATAGATTCATGATCCAAAATATGATCAGGAAATAATAAACACAAACAAAAAAAGCAGGCGTAGAAATCTCTAGAAAGTAGATCTTTTCTGCAATTTTATTTCACTAAATGTGATTTTTTTTTTTTTTTTTTTTTTGTCGAGGAAAGTTTGATTGTGTGGATGAGATAAAAAAAAAAGAAAGGTTTAGCATAGCAGATTAATGGCGATAAAGTGAAAGTGGTGGAGTAGGGGGCTATCTAATATGTATGAGCACGAGGGGAAAAAGGGAAGAGCGTAATTAAAGGAAGCCGGCCTATAGATTAGGAAATGATAACCTCCAAGAGCCCGGTAATATATCGGTAACAACCCTCCTATTAAGTATTAATTGGAGATTTTAAGCCCCCGCTGCTGCAGCCTTCAGTCGGGAGTAAATGGAGGGTTAAAAGATCATTAGGGAGGTTAGATGTGACTCGCGCTCCTGTGACGATAATTGGGCGCAGTTCTCTCCCTGCGCCGCAGAGCCTTGCGGATTTAACGCACCGGCTCATCACGCACGCCGCAAAAACATACAGAGAGCGCGCGGCTATTTACTCTAATAAGAAGGCCAATGCAGGTGCCAAGGTAAATATGACACCTAATTACACTTTCTTCTGGGGGGGAGGGGGGTTTACACAGTGGAGGAAAAAAATCCACAACGTGCCAGTTTTTTGTTTGTTTATTTGTTTGTTTACATATTTATTCACACGTTTTTTTTCCCCGCCGCCTAAAAACTCACAGCACAGCTGCATCCCTTCTTCTCCTCCATCACCTCCATTTCTCACTCCCCTCCCATCATCCACACACAATATTGACGTGCGATCAAAATGGCGTCAGCAGCCATACTGCATGTTCGCTGAGTGACACGAGGTGACCCGTATTATAGCCTATATATAAATATCTATGTGTGTGTGCAGGTCTGGTTCCAGAACCGACGTTCCAAAGAGAGGCGCATGAAGCAGCTGAGCGCGCTGGGCGCCCGGAGGCACGCGTTTTTCCGGAGCCCGAGGCGGATGAGGACGCTGGTGGACCGGCTGGAGCCCGGAGAGCTGATCCCCAACGGGCCCTTCTCTTACTACGGAGGTATGCAGTGAAATTTAGGTCATCTTGTCAAACAAAAGTACATTTTTTCACCTGTGTTTTACTATTATAAATCATCTTTTACAATATTTTTAATTGTTAAAATGATGCTTGGTGTGATTCTGTCTCTCTACACTTTCATCTCTTCTCCTGTTTGAGTCTGACTGCTGCCATTTTATTCAACATAATTTTAAAATTGATTTTTTTCCCATATTTCTATCTATTCTATTCTTCTATAATTTTTTTTTCTATTTTTCTGTAGTTTCCTTCTGTAACGAAACATTGCTCTATTTTATATTATCTATACCAGGTCAGCTAAGACATTCAATAAGAAATAAAGCAGTTTTATTCAGGTATTTGTTAAGTGTATAAAGGCACTGCCACCTCTAGAAAATATATACCATAATAGGCCGGTTTCTTGAGCTCTTTCACAAAAAGCACATTGTAATTTAGTAATATCTATATAAGCATATACAAACAATGCAATGATTTATTGTAATCTGTGATATATTGTTCAGTGTGTTTTGGAAAGAAGTTTAAGCAAAGTTTACATCTCTGTGATTCGATAGCTCACTCTTTGAAATATCTGATCATTTTCAGAGCGTCTCATTCGTGCTCGGGCCTTTGTCCTCTCTGCCGAGGAAAAGAAAAGTCTAATAATATTCTGCTGAATTGAAAAAAAAAAAAATCGGTCTCAGTAGGTAGAATCACTGATGAAATGGCCCCCATTTTAATTAATTTTGTGGCCACGTTGTTCTCCCCACCCAATTGCAGTTTTGATTTAAGTGTAACGTGCTCTGTGACTAATGTAGTACGGCGAGGGTCTCTCTCCCCCTCTAATACAAATCAAGCTATGTATATTCAATGAATTCCTCAACGTCTCCAGAATTATTTCTGCACACCCATTGTTCTCAGAGCCAACGCTGATTTTTTTCTTCTTCTCTTGGATCTGCAGATTATCAAAGCGAGTATTACGGCCCAGGAGGGAACTATGACTTCTTCCCTCAGGGGCCCCCGTCGTCGCAGGCCCAGACCCCGGTCGATCTCCCCTTCGTGCCCTCGTCAGGCCCCACGGGCACCCCCCTTGGAGGTATGGACCACCCCCTGCCGGGCCACCACCCCTCCAGCGATGTGCAGCGCTTCTCCGATATCATGTCCCACCACCCGGGGGACTCTCCCAGCCCGGAGCCCGGCATCCCGGGGCCCCTGCACAGCATCTCCTCTGAGGTGTTTGGCCCCAGCCCGCCCTTTACCTCACTGTCGCTGAACGGCAGCGGATACAACAACCACCTGTCCCACCCGCCCTCGGAAATGAACGAGGGCACTGTGTGGTAGCTTTTTGAGGGAGTTGACTTTTATCTGGCGAGAGATTCGGGGACAGAGGGTGACGAGGTTTGGTGGCGTTGGGGCCTGGGGTCGAGGCCAGGGACATGGATATCGACAGGGTTAGGTCAACGCCATTGAATCCTAATTTTCTTTTTTTGTTTTCATATTTATTTATTTATTTTACCATTTCATTTGCTGATCTTTTTTTCTGTGGGGAAAGCATATTTGGCATAAAAAGTTATGCTCAAAAACATTGTCTTCAGTGTTGTGTTTGGGTGTTTCAGTTGCTTCTTTTGCCCCTGCCCCACCCTGCATCCAAAACTGGACTTTAAAAAAAAGAAATAACTGGGCGAGACTGTTGAACTGCCCCCCCTCCCCATTCACCCCCCCCCTTCTTTTCTTTGGGCCCCTGGGGCACCCTGTCACCCCTCCTGTCAGTGGCCCGGCAAAGCGACCAAACCCCCCAACACTCACCAGTAGGGTAAAAAACAACCCTTTGGAAATCTCCTATAGTATGTCCAGAACACAAAAACATCATTAGCTACTGTCAAAGACTTCGATAGCTTTACAGAGAGAGAATGAAGGGGGGGCCGAGGGGTTGGTTGCGTGCTGACCTGGCACTGTAGGAAGGCTGAGCGGCGTCCAGACTTTGTTCGAGGCACTAGACTTGTCCCTTGTATTTATTCAGAAGCTCCTCAGACCTCTTTGCCTCTCAAGGCTCTGCCATATTGACACTTAACCTTTTTGACACTACGTTTCCGAAGGCCAGAGGAAATGAAAATTTTTTCCTCCGTGTGGACTATTTGTTTCTCTTTCTTTCTTTTTTTTCTTGGTTTCAGAATTTTCACCAAATCTGAAGCAGGCCGCCTTCAAAAGGCAAACAGTAAAAACCCTCCACGGATTGCAAACCCTTTATTTAAAACGGAAGTGAACTTGAAATGTTGAAATGAAGTCTACCTTCTAAAAATCTTCTACTGGGGTTCTAAATGGGACTTAGAACAGTCAACTGTTTACGTAATCTATTTAATTCAGGAGTCCAGAAGTCTCGAAAAACCATGTTTTAGAACCTCTCGATCCATATAAAAATGTTCCAAGCAACCAACCAAACTTTTGTATTGATTTCATTTATATTGTATGGAGATAAAAACAAATTTGCTGGGGTTGTGGTTCACTGTGCTAGTTTGTACAAGATGTTGTTTACAAAAAAAGGTTGAAAAAAATAATAAAAACATGAGTAAAGTAGACATTTGCCAAATTGAAAAAAAAAATAGCACAAATACTGTTAAAGTGCTTTGCACCATCATCTGCAGAACGTGTTGAGACAAAATGTAAGTGTTAAAAGGAGTAATTGACTTCTTAATTTTTTAGTCTGCTGACAATACATTCATAAAATTGTTAATATAACATACTTAGACAGGTTTTATTTTTGTGTCTTCAAAGGAGAAAAATCCAAACTATTAAAAATTGATGGTCAAATATGCAGCCAGTAGCTGCTACATCTCTTTGAATATCAAGCCCTCATGGTATGTCTTTTATTGTTCCAATAAACCTAAGCTTATGTGACCTCCAGTGCATATTAGACCATTCACTGTATAAATACAACATGTTGACAAAAATGTGTTTCTAATAAAACTAGAAAATATACTTATGAATTTTTTAACATACTTTCTTTGGAGCAGCTGCCTTACAGTATGCCCTTACATTACATTATGAATCGCACGGTGTCGGTGCAGCTGTACATCACAGGGCTCTCTGTAAGGTACTTATCAGGCCAGTGTCACTCATTTCATAATGGACGCTTTTTGTCTACGCGTCTAATTTCCCCATTCCCTCGTGTTGTGAAATAATTGGCCTTTGCACACACGATGACAGGTAAACATTTGTTAATTCTGATTAATGTAATTCAGAAACACTGGGTGAAACTGTAACGGCGGTTTGGCAGAAAGCGGTGACAAAGGAAAAAGGAGTCAGAAGCACGCTGTAGAGTCACGCTTTGCAGTGAGTTTTGTGAACTGTCAACAAAGGGGTACTCTCTTTTTCCCTGCATGCCGCAGTGTTGCACCATATCTCGATGCAATTCATAGACAAATGGAACAAGGGTTTGAACAACAAAAAACTTTTCTGCTGATGTCTCCCCCCACCCCCCTCAGCCGTGGAGGCATTTAGTGGACTGGCGTGCTGCAGCCGACACAACGGGGAGCGAATCCACAACTTATGCTGATGCCGCTTCTTTCTTTCCCCCGGCTGCTTTGGCTGCGGCCTCCGAATCTTCCGTTCAGTTACTCGAGGTCGTCAACTAATCATAAGCAGTTAGCTGTGCGGCTGTGAAGGACAATGATGAAATTGCCGTGACCGCAGCTCTCCTGCTTGTTATGCTTTTATTAGCCCGCTCCGACATTATTATTCCCTGCAGCTTACTGTTCGTGGTGCCGTCTGACGGCTGGGAGGGACCTCTCCCAACTTATTTCAGCCAACGTAGCCCTAATAATAATCAAGAAGCCCAAACACTGAGGCATGATCTTTTGCGGGGGGAAGATGAAAAAAGAATTATTCAGACTCGTAGAGAGACGAGTCGGGTGTTGGGATTGTGGCGTGAATTCGGGGGAACCTTTATCTCCCAAACCCTGCATGTGCAGTGAGGACCAATCCCAGTTTTCTCCCCTGCCTCCAGACTGTAATCCACCATGAATTAATCATGGTCTTGAGAGTTAACCAAGCTTGGGGAGGTGGGGTGGAAGGTGGGGGGTGGAGGGCCTGTGGAAGGATATAGGTCTCTGTTGAGCCCCTGAGCTTAGCCCCCCCTGTGGTAACATCATGCACCGGCGACTGACCGCCCCCGGGGCCACGGCTCTTTAAATTCAAATCTCCTATTGATCGCTCATCAGCTGTTGGTGCAAACTGACCTTGTAGTCTAACGCTGGCAAAATAAAACAAGCCTTAACAGCATCCAATGGGTTTTAAATGACATTTTAAATCTCTGAGTCAGGACGTTTGAATAGCCCACACACCCACTGGGATCCAAAATAAGTGTACTGTATGTGTGTGTGTGATGAGAGGGGGGATAAATGCTTAGAGGAAAAAGCTGGGGGGGCGGGTACAAATGGTTTACTTTAGGGTACAACAGGGGCCAAAATATTGAGCCAATAGAAAGATCAGGCCCAGCAGGCAAACACTGAGATACTTGGGTTCAAAATGAGAGGTTTTTTTTTTGGGAGCCCCTCTCCATATGAGAAGCATTTGGCTGCTAGCTTTAAATGCAGAGTGGCTCAGCTGGAAGTGTACCCTCTCCTCTGAGCGAGTGTAAGCACAAACACACACACACACACACATGCATGGCACGGGTCCTCGTTGATTCTCAAACAAACGACACATGTTGGGGGAAGCCAATTTCTTGGCCAGGAATGAGAAAACGCTGATAATCAATGGAGCGGGTTGGTTGATCGCTGAGCCACATTTCCCTGGCTCAATACTCAGCGAGTGGGTGATACACAGCCATGTAGCCGCCTGATAAGCGGACCTGTGCCGACGAGCTGTTTGTTTTTGCCACCTCACTACTCTTTTACACTTCCTCCTCCTCCTCAAAAAGTAAAGACAGAAGGGGGTGTTTAACTCATAGGAGTGTTTCTTTTGCTAAATAAGTAATGTTCAGGGGCATTCTCTCACAAATAATGCCTGATTTTCTCTTAGAGGTGTAATTCAAGAGGGATTCGACCTTTAGCCATAATAAGAAACCTTCTTTTTTCCTGCCCTGGACATCCAAGGAAACTCCTTTGCTGCATTTGATGCATTTTCACTTTCTTTTTTTAGGTAAAATAAAAAAAAAAGTTAAGTTAAGTATGATCAGCAGTGGCCACGATGGCTGAGCAGACAAGAAACGTCAAAAAGAAAAAGTCAAATATAGTCAACAGAAAATTCATGGAAAACAAAGAAGGAAAAAGAATGTAGTTAGAACCAAACATGGAATCTTCTGATGCAGATAGTGTCTGTGATAAAAGTGATTCCTGCATAAATAGAATTTGGTTTTCAGTCTAGCTGTCTCCACACACCTCACTGACCAGGTAATAAAAGAAATGAAGTCAAATATGATACGGACCTGTGGCTTTGGAAGGAAATATTATATGTGCACTTTGGAAAGAATTGCTTTGTAAGTATTTTTTTGTAGCCTGAGCTGTTGCCACCCAGGATTTTAGAAATATGTTTCCTCATGCAACCCCTACACCTTTAGAAAATTCAAAACAGAAGGTCCTTCCTAATATTTAAATTTCTCATATTTGAATATTCATCTAACAATTAAATTATTTAAATTTTTAACAAGTTTAAGTTAAATGCCTTCTCCACACTTCCAGTAAACTGGTGGGGACAAACAAATCCTTAATTTATTTATTGCCATAAAAAGGAATACATTTTTCACATATGAAAAAAATGCTAGAATCAGCTTACAGAAAACCCACCATGTGTACATGTTTATTTGTGGAATGTTAACTCTGGTAAGACTCCAAATTCCCCCCAAAATATCCAGGACATTAACTTGTTATCCTCAATGGTACGTCCCTGATGGGAGGTACTGCTTTAAAGAAGTTAATAAGGAGTGTGTATTCTCCCACACAACAATATAGAAATTAACCCAAAGCAGTGCAACCAGTGAAGAATGTTAGAAACTTTGTCTGCCATTGTCGTCAGGCTCCAGAATCTGGAGTTGCACCATTCAGTTAATATAAGAGGAAATTTGTGGACACTTCAGAACTATCCATGGTGATTTCCTCACACATTATCTGGCTCTGTACCTTCAGCTTTATGAAGTTAAGGTAACTTATAGGGTGAGAAATCCTACGCATTATCAGCTCCATTCCAATATGCATTCCAACAGTCTTGCAATAAACCTTCTTTTCATGAAGGTTATAATGTTCAGTTTTTGTTTGAATTATTTTAGCTGCACTTTGTGGTGTTGTGGAATTGCATTGTGGTAATCCAGAGATCTCAAACTACCGGCCTGGGGGCCATTTTCGGCCCTCGATCCTCCTCCCTTTGGCCCACAATATGATGTGAAAAATATAATATAACCAGGCCTGCAATATTATTATTATTTTTTATTTTGTAGATGTCATATCAATTTAAACTACCCTTTCATATAAAATTAAAATAAAAACACAAGTCCATTTTTAAAAATGTATGTTGTTTGGCTCAAAAGAATGGGAAAGGGTGTCTGCAAATGTGTACAAGGGGTTAAAAAGAAAGAAGCGGGTTTCAGGCCTTAGGGTTAGGGTTCGCCACTAGGGTTGTTTGGCTTTGAACAACAAATGTGATATAAAATGATGATATAAAATGTATAAAAACTGCTGTTTGCATTTTTTGTTAAAGATCATGTTAGTAATGGAAATATTTTCAAAATATTGCGCTTTCTTAAAATACTACCCTCCTGTGAGTTTACAATACCAACAGTGGTCCCAAGACAATTTACATTTGAGACCAGTGTCTATTATTTTGTCCACCCCACATCTATCTAAATGTATGATAAAGAGGGCTTCTCTGTATAATGCATCACAGATGAATGAGACTATCAAAAGTCAAATCTCCACCACTGTTATAATGTAGACCTGAGAATGTTCAATATGTTCATCTGAGTCATTTACATTAGTCTGACTGGACAAAACTCATATCACCCTAAATGCTGGGAAAGCGATTAAGCTAATAAAAAATGTGATGTCTTCATACATTCTAATTGACTTATTGCTGAACTTTGACCCCCAAAGTCACGCCAGAGCGTCAACCAGCTCTTAACCTTGATCTTGACCTGGTGCACTCTCAAGGTTGACCCTTACCCAGGGTCGCGTCAGTCCCAATCTCCAACCCACATCCTCCTGTGTTGGATCAGTAGTTCAGAGTGGGAGCCCTGGTAAGAGTTTGCTAACTGTAGTATCATTGTATAACACTTTAGCTGCTAATGTACAATATTTTTTGCCACATTGTAGAGAAATAGTTGCATTTGCAGAAGAGTTGAACCACAGCATAAATTAAAAGGCAAAAGGGGAGACCAATTGAAATGAACACTGCATGCTGAGTCACAAAGTATGCAATCACAACACAAAGGTCAGATTTTATGCCAATGGACAGCAGGCTCATTACTATAGTGCTGAGAATACTTGTACATTACTTGATTGTGTTGGTTGCGGGTTGTCTGTGTGTGGCTACCTCACTTGTGAGACTTTTAAATATTGAACAATGTAAAAATGATGAAATATGGTCTAAATGTGAATGTTCAATTAACATCTTCAAATAGTCGTGAAAAAATGTCCACTTTGGAACCAATTTGGTATTCTCTGGTGACAATGGTTATTTTTTGACATCTTTTGAACTCACATTGAAGTATTGCCAGATCTTTTTTTTTTAAAGAGTTCGGTCTAGACCTGCTCTATTTGAAAAGTATCCTGAGAGAACTTCTGTTATGAATTGGCGCTATACAAATAAAATTGAATTGAATTGAATTGAATCTCTACTATAGCTAATAAATGCTAAGAACTGACACGCAAAACAAAAAAACTTTGCAGTAACTGTATGCTACTCCAGATGTCCTTTCCATTATGTGTTTGGGGTTGCTAATGTTAGCCTTATCCTCATGCAGTGAAAATGTAGCTAACTTCCCCTCA